GTCTCTTACCTCGTTGGTTCATTGGGTTTAACAACAAAGCTTGCGGAATCGATCTCGAGGAAAGTCAGTTTCGAGGACAAGGGTAATCCTGATTCTGTTCTGAATCTTCTTAGGAGTCATGGGTTCACAGACTCTCAGATCTCCACCATCATTACGGTTTATCCACGGTTGCTTATAGCTGATGCTGAGAAATCCATTCGTCCCAAGCTTCATTTTCTGGAGTCTAGAGGAGCTTCGAGCTCTGAGCTCACTGAGGTTCTTTCAAAAGTTCCTAAAATCTTTGGAATTAGATGGGAAAAAGCTATAAGCGTGTACTATGATTTCGTCAAAGAGATTATTGTAGCTGATAAGAGTTCCAAGTTCCAAAAGTTATGTCATTCTTCTTTGCCACAGGAGGGTAGTAAACAGGGGAATAAAATGAGAAATGTATCGGTTCTGAGAGAATTAGGTGTGCCTCAAAAGAGGTTATTCTCACTGCTCATCTCTGATAGCAACCTTGTCTGTGGAAAAGAGAGATTTGAAGAATCACTCAAGAAGGTTGTTGAAATGGGTTTTGATCCAACCACCCCAAACTTTGTCCAAGCTTTGTGCTCTGTTTACAGGTATAGTGACAAAACAATAGAAGAAAGAATCGATGCCTATAAAAGGTTAGGCTTCACTTTGAGTGATCTATGGGAAATGTTCAAGAAGTGGCCACTCATTCTGAAACACTCGGTGAAGAAAATAAGTCAGATATTTGAAACCTTGAAGAAGTGTGGACTACTCGAAGACGAGATCCTCGCAGTATTGAAGAAGTATCCGCAAGGCTTTGCTGCTTCAGAGAAGAAAATAGACAAGTCCGTTGAAACATGTCTAGGCCTAGGATTCAGCATGGATGAGTTCACAGTGCTTTTCAAGCGCTTTCCTCAATTGATTTGCTTATCTACAGAGTCGGTGAAGAAGAAGACTGAGTTTCTGGTGAAGAAGATGAATTGGCCACTAAAGGCTGTGGTCTCAAACCCTTCAGTATATGGATACAACCTGGAGAAGAGGACTGTCCCAAGATGTAACGTAATCAAAGTTCTCATGTCCAAAGGACTGCTTGGAAGTGAACTCCCTTCAATGTCGTCTGTGTTGGCGATTACCGATCAAGCTTTCTTAAACAAGTATGTGAAGAAGCACGATGACAAGGAGCTTGTGGCTGAGTTGATGGCCATCTTCACAGGAAATCGTGTTTCACTCACTGATCACCTACAACAATGAGCAACGTTAAGGATTGCTTTTCTTTGTGTTAGTTTTAGATAGATTGATAAATCTTTGATGTCTGACTGTGGGAAGCAGAAGAAGAGCTTTTGTATATGAGTGTCTGAAACCCATTTAGACTTTCACAATCTCAATTTGACTCAAATCCAATCCGTTTCTTCTTGTATGCAATCCGACTAGGAAAATAATTGTGAGCTTTTTTCCCACAGCTCTTGAAACTGAAACTATGATTACGTTCGTAGCCTAACCATCATCAGTTTTTACTTTGTAGTATATTCATAACTCCAAGATCCATAATTAAGCGATCAAATGTTAGTTTTTGTTTCTTTCTATAAGCAGGGGAAAAGAAAGAAGGTGTAGGTGAGTTATTCTTACTCTATGCATCTCCTGCAGGTAT